TTCATCTGAATCTCTTTTAACAATTAATTAAAGCATTTTTAAAACTTGATAAATTATTGTTAGAAATAAGTTCTAATACATTAATATAAAAATTAAAAACTAAGAAAACAAAATATTTTCAATATTCTTATTATATTCATTATTCCAATAAAAATTACTTGCATGTCTATAGAAATATATTATTGTATAAGAAAAAACTATATTCTCAATTTACACTTTTATCAAGTCCTCAAAAAATGAATTAATAAAAATATCAGAATAATTTTTAAGTCCACAGTATCTTGTTAATCCTTTAACGTTATTATTTACCAAAATTTTCATATAAAAAGATGCTTACTATTAATCAACATTTACACAAAGAAACGGTCCTCTTTTCAAACTCCTTTTTACCACTAAACTGAAAGCACTTAAATAATCTTTTAATTCTATAAGAACATTCAGCCCATAAGAAAATTTTACACAAGATAATCCAACCATTTTTCTAATTCAATATTACAAAAAAATAAAATTTTCCTCCCTTTTAAACTCTTCCATAAATTTGTGAATTGGCTACGTTTTATGGAAAAACCTATTTCTATTCTTTCTTCATTCCATTCCCCCCTTTCTTCTTTTATTTTTTCTTCTCCTCCTCTCTCTTTCTCTATTCATTCATTCCATTTCTTTTTCTCTTCTTCTTCTTCATCCTTTTTTTTTTTTTTAGAATGAAAAGGCATTTAAAGCACGCGGTGAATTGTAACTTTCATCCTTTCGTGATCCCGACTTAAGGACTTACGTGACCCACGATATTAATCACCAGAGTTTTCAAGGCTAAGGTCACGTATCGAGCATGACAGAAGTTAAACGAGGAGAACACAGCTGTGGCATGTGTGTAATGTGACGCGTAACACGCGTGTTCCGTTTACATGGTCGCGTGTCGTGGATTTTCCTCCACCCTCGTAGAACATAGCTCGTTGTTTCATGTCGAGGGCTGTTTGAGTGGCTGGATCGAGTGGAGATGATGGTGGTTGTTGTAATGTTCATGTAAGGGTGTTCGATGATGGAGATCGACGATAGGATTTTTCGAAGCTGTTCGAGTGGTGGGATTATTGCCAGGGGTGCCAATGTTTGATTTCTTACGTTCGTGAGGGCTTTTTCCTATATTTGTCAATTTTTCAAAGAATCGTCTTAAGTATCTGAATTTTATGAACTTTAACTAAAAAAATTCATATCAAGATCAAACCACATACGTACAATTGTTACTATGTATCAATTGTAAAGTCTAAAGTAAAATAAATTTTCGATAATATCAAATGTTAATGATTTAAGAATTTTTAAAAAAAAGTTATTTAAGAAAAGAGTTCTTTCATAATTTATTTGCATATCACTCGTGTATATCCCAAACATAATTCTATTTAAACTATAAAAAAATTTTCACTTAACGAAACGTATAAGTTAAAACAGAAATAAAATGATTAAAAATTCATATCAAAATTAAATCACTATACGTATAATTGTTACTATGTATCATTGTAATCGTAAAGTCTAAAGTAAAGTAAATTTTCGAAATATCAAATATTAACAAATTTTTGATAAAAAATTATAAAAATTATAAAAAATTTGATAAAAAATTTCTAGAATCGCAAATATCTATCTTCCTCATGATGAAGATAAGAAGGTAGTCAGCTCGGTTTCTACCTGTCTAATTCCTTTCCTGTCCGTTTCGTTTCCATGGACACATTCCAATCCAATCATTGAGCACAAATCCCCTGAAACAGAGGGGGGAAAGGGATGAGACGTGAATCGAAGCGGAATTAAAATATTACACGCGATAACGTGTCTGTCAGATGGCAGATCCTTTGATTCCTTTCCACGAAAATGGCGAAAGTATGTTCCTCGAGGAACCGCATCGTCCGCTAATTGAAAAATTGAGTCGCGAACAAGCGAAAGAAATGTGGTTATGTGATCCACTGACCCAAATCGCGTGGCACACCGCGGATATATTCAGGTGAATAGAGAACACATATCCAGATTTGCAGTAGGCACAAGTCCAATCGATAACCTGCCGGATTTTATAGGCTCGTGTATTGCTATAAACTCGAGTTCTACTACCCTTTCTCTTTCTCTTGGGATTAACATGTCCGTCTCTTTTTCTCTTTGCACTTGGTGTTTTGTGTGGAACGAGCTCTGTGATAAAACCAATCCTTATATGAAAATGATACTGATACGGAAGCGTTGCTCAGTGGAAATCATAATGCAATTAATTAGGCTAGAAGGAAGATTTATATCAAGGATAATTTGGTAAGAGTGTTTATGAGCTAAGTTTTTTGACAAATTACTTGTAGAAATGTTTGTAGAAAAATTAAATATAGAAATAATAGAATTTAGAATATTCAATATATTTAAGATTCATGATAAATAAATATTTGTCGAGATGTAAGTAATTATGTAAGATATTATAAGATTCTTGAGATAAAAGTGAATTGAAAATCGATAATGAAATTTGAAATTTAATTTGAAGTTCAACGTTTATAAAATGTAATATTTCGTATATTATGAAACACGTTACTGAGACAATAGGATTTATTAGATTAACCGAAGAAGTTGAGGTTAGTGGAAAAGGTCAATCACTAGTCAGACCATTATCTAATCTAGTCAACTATTTTAATATATATGGTATATTTTTTATTAATTTATATTTCTTTCTATTTTTTTTATATGTATAATATTACATTTTATCAAATTTTTCTTCTTTCCCTTTCTATATTTTCTTTTATTATCAATATTTTATTATTCATACATTTCTTCGTGCAATATCGTATCTTGCAGTGAGAAGAAGTTTTCCAATAACGTACTCATTTCGAAAGTTATTCAACCGGCAGAAAAAGTAATCGCGAAGTTTAATTGGAAATCTTTCATCTAATTTATTATGTACCAGTTGCTTTATAAATGGAATAGAGAATATTTTAATTACAATTATATATAATTATATATATTTAATTAGTACGTATCTTATTTTATTATTATAATAATTATTAATTGTTTTCATCTAAGAAAATAATAATTATTATTAAAAAAATATATTCTTTTAATTTACAATGAGATTCTTTTTTCTCAAATTATAATTATGTTTTTTAGTTTAAAAATTGTATTGTTTACACAGAATCAATATAATTAAATATAAACTAGTTAAAACGATGTTTTAAATTGTTCCAAACTGTTTGGAACGAGTATATACTTGCTAATCGGTTGGTAAAACAGAAAGTTTCTCCTGCTGCCATCTGCAAGCAAATTCGGTGGTCGTTCTTATTTCAACTATTGTCTCTTTCGTCGATACGATTTTATTAACCGAGTAATTTCTGATAAAGAAAAGTATAATTTTCTTAAAAAATTTATTCAGAAAACTATATTTGATTTCGTTTGTATACTCATTTCTTAAAAATTTATAATCGTTATGAAAATAAAAAAGATTAACATTTTTAAAGAATTTTATGCTTAATACTATAATAATATATTCGATTATATATAATAATGACTGCAATTGCAGAAATGGGCTATATGCATAGATGATAAAGTAGAGCATCCATAAAATCTATTCGAAATTTTTTAACAATAGAATTAAATTGATAGAAAAACAAATATTAACAAATTTCATTAAAATTATATTTGAAAATCAATTAATAATTTATTCATATAATTTATTAGCAATTACATTTATTTATTTATTTAAAAAAAAAATTGACAAAATATCAATAATAAAAAATAATAGAACAAACTTCAACTTTTTCTTATTTCAAAAGGCAATAAAATTTATATATTACATATTATTAAGAAACAAAAAAGAAAAGAAGATTTAATCAAATTAAAAGTCAAGAAGACTTCAAATACAAAAAATTTTATGATTTCATCGAGTTAACATCGACCTTTATATTCTTTGGTATCCGCAATTAACGCGAATAAGTAAACAAATATCCACTTGTTATTCTGTGGGAAGAGAGAGGAGGCGGAAAGGGGGAGAGAGAGAAAAAGAAAAAGACAAAAAAATGAGAGGAAAAGACGAGAAGTAAATTCGTATGCATCCATTGTTCTCCTTGAGAAAGTCAATTAGTCAATTGGATGGCTCGTGTTCGACGAAACGGAACGGATACGCATGTGAAACGCAAGATACTCTCAAACCGTTCACTGGGATCGTTTAATCCTTATTGACCGTCAGGAATAAGCATGGTCTTTAAGCAAATTAACCGCTCCGCCTAGTAGTGTTACATTCTCGCGTGAATTATCCGTTCCAATTAGAAGATAAACAATGGTGGCTCGCGGTATTCCCGCCAATTTGTTGAAATGTCGATCACGCGATATTCAAAATTGTTACCACTAATCGAGAAGCAACGTTAATCAAGGGAATCTTGCTACGTGACTTAACGCATCGTGTTTCATGCTATGAGTGTAAATTACTATTTAGATTTCAAGGCTTTCGTTCTCTAAGATAGTAATTTCAATTGCCAATTCTTTGCTATTACTTTGTATTTTTGTTTATTTGTTATTTATTGAGTTTTGTTACTTATTGAGTTTAATAATATTTTTCTAGTATATATACGTGTTGTAACGTTTATTATTCATTAGATTTTCATAAAATTTTCTTTCTTATTTATTAAGTATTTTTTATTATTAGGTTAAGGATTATGCGCTTGATATTTTCTTCTTCTCGATATTTTTTATTAATAGTATTTGGTACTTTTTTCTTTTATAGCATCTTTTCGTTAGATCAATTGAACAAATAGAATTGAATCTGTTATTAAAATATTTGATAATAATTGAAATATTTGCCCATTTTAAAATATTCAGGTTCATCGAAATTTGCATTAGCAAACAGTTGTATATATATTATCAATTTTCTTTCATAATATAAAATTATTATAATAACAATGTCGAAATTAAATTTCAAATTGAATAATTAACATTTAGCATGATATTTGATTTTAGAATATTTTAAATTGATCGTTTAAATCTTTGACAAGTATAAAAAATCTATAAATTAATAAAATAAAATTTCAGTAATTGATAAAAAATTCTTTCCAAAATTTTAGTTTCCCTATACCCACGCAATCTTTTTATATCTGCTCTTAATTGTTAAATCATACGTAGGAATGTTATTCAATAATGTTCTTATCGATCGAATAACAGTTTACATTCACTTTCTTGTTTTCATTACATCGTTATTCAACAATAATCTTTATTTACTTTACGTAGAAATGCAGTTACGATTCGTCACAAGAGTGGGGCAAAATTTCTTCGTCGAAGGAGGCATTGTTTCGTAGGAAATCGATTTCGGAAGCTGCGAGTACAGGTGCACTCGAATGCCTCCTGGCAAACGTATCGCCCTATATTATGTATACTTACCTACTTCTGTTTCACTTTGCAAACATTTGCATCGGTATAATTTATTTTTTATCAGTTCGACTAACTTAGTGAATGCTCCGTTTCGATCGAGTTTCTTCTTCCACAACGAATACCGTAGAATATTTCTTTCGAGATAACTTTTTCGTTTATTTCGTTATGTACTGCAAATATACCTGCGATTGAGGAACAGACAAGAATTTAAAAAGCTTGTTTTCACATATGTATATATATCTACTTTATATTTCTGTTCGTATATCGTTATTATTCGTTATTTAAATAAACGACAGAAATTCTCTTTTTAATCGTAATAAATAAAAAATTGGCCTATTTAGAAATTTTTTTAAATATTTATCGAATCATTTTTCCGTATTTTACCTCTATAATTTAAAAAATTTTTTCTAACTATACGTTGAACAAATTTTTATATTTTTAGAAAAATATCTTCCATTTCATTAATTTTTCTTTCCTTCAAAGTCGTTAATTTTCTAAAAAAAATTGAAATTATCCTCAAATTTTCCTAGCCTCGATCTTGAACTTTCTCAATTTTCGTCAATAAACGATAAAATCATATCTTAATAAAGATTCATTAATACGCATGTACATCGTTCATAAATGAATTATAATAAATATTTTATCGGTTGATCAGTTACAATGGAAATGGCACCGAATCGTTCGTCGATAGTTCTTTGGTCCATTCGTTGCTATTGCAATCGGAAATACGTCATCAGCAGCGTGATGTATCGTCAATTTATTATTTGCCAAACGTCGTTAGCTCCACACGCTAGGCATGTGAATTCCCAACTACATATCACGCTATGAAAATTAATCATTGCCACGTATACGCTTTCGTTGCCCTGAGTTTCTTCCATCACTTTCGATTATTTCTGTGAACATTTACAATAGTTTCAAATTCTATCATAATTTATCTGTGTAAAAAATAATATGCCCAAATGAAATTTGTTTCTATATCTCTTAAAATATATTACAAGTTTTATTAATAAATTTGAAATCACTTTTTCAGTTTTATCCACATTGATTCTTTTTCTGATTAATTCCGTTATTAATTATGTGTAAAAAAAGAAACGAATGTTTTCGATAATGAAAAAATTGAATTTTTATTTTTATTAAATCGTAATTTTATTTTCAATTAGAATTTTATCCCTAATTATTTTGAGTTTTTAACTTTTTACTCTTTCGTAAGTTTTTCTTATTCTGAATATCTTAATATTTTTTTTAATATTGTATTATATATATAGGATAAGCATATCTTTAGAAAGTTCTTTATTTTTTAAACTATCTATTTCTACAATATTTCCTTGTAATTTTTAATTTTCCATATTATGCTATCAAATAATTTGAATTTTATGAAACAAAATATTAAATATCTTGGAATTTCTTTTAATAAAATGATTTGAAAAGAAAGATTTTAAAGCTAAATATAAACATAGTATTTTTAAAGAAGTATATATAGTATTAGTATATAGTATTAGTATATACATAGTATTTATAAGAAGATATACATATAAAAAATTATAATCTCATTGTTTCAAAATATTTTAAATTATATTTATTGTTTGAATTTCATATTCATTTTAGAGATATATTGCACGTTTAAAAAATTCTAATTTTTAAAATTAATTTTTTTAATATTTTCAATTGTTCAAACGATATTCTATTGCAATAGATATTAATATAATTTTCTTATTCTATGAATATCAATTCAAAAAAAAAGAACCGAAAGAAAAAAAAAGAATACATACAAGATTTTCCGTGTCATCTTCTTTAATTACGCAAAATCCATTTCATTTTTAATTTTTCTCAACGTAAGAATTACAATAAATAATAGAATATAACAGAAATTATTCGAGCAACAAGTTGGTCTCTTTTAAAAGTCAAGAAGATTTACTATCTCTACTTCTAAGAAAAAACAGTTACGTTTGGTTATTAAGTAAATCACAGTGGAATAAGATAGATTTTTCCTTGCAACGAGAAATGTTACATGGTCGAACGAACTCATCTGATCTCATCTCTGCATGGAAGCTGCTTCGAAGTTACCTCATTCTTTTTCTCCTTCCTCTTTTGTTTTTTAATTAAAACACTAGAAGTATCGACCTGTAACGTATAGGTAAATATGCTATATATAGATGATTATAATTAAAATGATATGATGAAAATAAGCGAATACAGCTTGTGAATCGGAGTAGAATTAAGGAATTAAAGAGTTTCCATTCCAATTTATAATTAATAATGGAATTAATCAGAAAAAGAATCAATATGGATAAAACTAAAAAAGTGATTTCAAATTTATTAATAAAACATTTGCTAAAACTTGTAATATATTTTAAGAAATATAGAAACACACTTTATTTGGGCATATTATTTTTAATATTTTGAATTTTCTCTAAAGAATTTCTATCGGAAAATTAAAAATCACAATAGGTCATGGGAAGAAAATCTGAAAAAGTTAGAAACTTTCTGTGAAAATCGGTCTTCTAATAAATTATCGAGAAAATATGGCGACTACTTGTGTGCTGTTTCATAGGAAAAACTCTGTGACAGGTTATTAATCGTGTTCTTTTAATAGAATTTTTCTTCTAAATTGAAGTATTTGAAGTTATATAAAGAATATCTTTGAAATATTTTATTTATGATTTCTTATTTTAAATTAATCAAAGCATTATTAAAATTTAGATAAAATTTAGTTTATCAAAATTCTTAGAATTGATAATGCGTTACAAATTATTTATCCAAGTCATAATGACCACAATGACTAATATATATATATATATTATATATTGACTTAAAGTACTTTATTAATGGAAGATAAATTAGCTTCTTTTTGCCTTCATGACTTCAGTTTAGATTCCATTAGTCTTCAAACACCCAATATACGAACCCAATCATCGTTTCATCATAGATGAAATCACATAGTGGAAAAAGAAGAGAAAAATTCTTTTAAAAGCAAAGATTTCACGTATAAGCCATATTAATCCCATTAAAAGATCTCGTTTAACACAAAAATATAGATCAATTTCTTTTTTATAAATTATCTACACAAAATTAATCCAATATTTTATTAGTCTTTTAGCAATCTATTGTAAAACTTTATTAAATATTCATTATAACATCATTAAATTTCATATAATATTAATAATCTATTTTCCTTTTACTTCCTTTTATTTAAAACGATTTTATATTCCATTATTTTGGGAACACCATCTTTTTATTCAGATGCAATAAATGTACATTACGAGATAACAAACACACGTTACATTAATTGCTTAAAATCTCGTTCGAAGAACATACGTTTCTTTCCTCCGACGAATCAATCTTATATTCCATTATTCCTCTAACACATACAACATTCCATCCTATCTACTTCTTCATCTATAAAATATCTTCAATTTTCCACAATAAATGAGACAAGAAACTCCAAAGAAATGCACGACATACATACAGATCGCATCGACTTTTAAAAATTTATATTTCTCTCCTCTCCATCCAATATTCCAAATTCAATTCAAAAACAAACTCACTTCACATTTTTACAAATCACTCACAATTAAATTACTCTTTATTCGAATTCCAATCGATTTTGAATCGCAAAAGAACATCAAAAACTTCCTAACTTTCACACTCTCTTTCTCACGATACACCGCGCACTAGCCCCTCGAAACGAAGAAAAAAAAAAAAAAGTAAACACAAGAATCCCCTCAGAAATGTCGAGAAACAAGAGTTCAAGAATCCATGGGCGAGAGAGCGCAGTGGGTCGCGCACAGGTGAGACGATGCTTCTTACGTGTCAAGAAGCCCGCCAGGGAAACTGCCCCCGCCCCTTCGTCCCCCCCTACCTAAGCGCAGCAGGGCCAGCAGGCGCAATTCGAACGCCGTCGTCGCGTCCTGCTCTGGCAGCCTCTACCGGAGGAACTGTTCAGTCGTGCAGTTAGTCAGTGAGCACAGGCCACAGGCAGAGTCAGTGGCACTAGTCACTCCCGGATGATCAGCTGGTGGTGGTGGCGGCGGCCGATCGTCGACGAGCACCAGGCCAGGGCAGCGGCACGTGTGCTGCGTCTCCATTCGAACCGCGCCGCCTGACGAGCTACAACACCAGCCTGTCTGCTCGCCAAACGCGTTTCGTACACGCATAACCCGTACATTTCTACGTTACACACCATCGTGTATACACGTTATATCAATCGTTTCGAATCGCGATCGAGGAACAATTTCACAGATTTATTTAATAGTAATTCAAAGCTGTAAAAGGTATATGTACTATATATATATACTATATATATATATATACATATATATACATATATATGATTTTTCTTCGTTTCGCGATATGAATTTCGTCGTTCTCTTTCGGTGTGTCGTTGTTGGTTAATCCGTTGGCCGTTGTGCTCTTTTGAATTGTTGTACGTTCGGGTCGTTCAGGTGAGATCTCTCTTCCGAGATTGTTGCTCGGGAGTGAGATTGTAATGAATCGGAGTCAAGACTTGATTTTGTGAACCGGATTGGAAGATTTCTTTTTTGTTCTTTGACGAATCAATCGCGGAAGTGAAGCTCGAGTGTTCACAGTTTCGAGATTCCTCGTGAATTCGAAATTCACGCGCGTGAACGGGTATATTGTATATTGAGGATGGAACTGTGGTGAGGAAGAATCGAGTGTGAGGAGAGGCATCTTTGGATGGGAGACGAGTGAATCAGAATTCGGCCGTGTTAACAGTGAGCCGACCTTTCCGGTCGACGACGATCAACAGAGTAAGTTTTGTATTCGTTTCGAAAGATATATATATATACATATTTCAATGTGTTACGCTCCTTCGTATTTATATTCGTGATAATTAATTCGTGTGAAACGACATATGTTGACATTAAAAGTGTTTACAAAGGCGACACGTTTTTCCAAGAATGATATATTCGTATAATTTGGTAGAGAATATGTGTGACGCGGTTTTGTTTTTTCGTGAGTATAATGTTGATGATGGTTCGATTTGAAACGAAATAATACCAGTGAGTTTTTTCGTCTATGTTAGGAGAAATATTCTTGCATTCGTTTTTGTTCTTCTGTTTATCAGCATTGTGGTCGTTGAACGTGTGTTTTGATTATCGTTCGTAGTAAACCTTGTCGTGAAGCGTAAATTGGATATCGAGAAATATGTTGATCGAAGGTAGCTCGATGTGAGAGTGTTGTGCGAGAGTTAATCGTTATTAGTTTGCTGAATTAATTAATATTTTTTTATGAATTATTTTTATGAAAATGAATCGAGAAATATAGGATAATTGTTTATATTATTTAATAATTATTCATTCTTGTTAATCTTATATCGGTTTTATATTCGGTTTTTGTTTTTCTATTTTATATTTATTTCCTTTTGTTAATTTTACATTCAATATGGTTTTTTATATTATTACTCAAAATTGTAATTCTATTTCAGTATTATAATTTATATTTGTTTAAAATTTGCGTTATATATAAATCGGAAACTATAATACAATTCATCCTCGTTGATAATGTTCGATAATTTGTTTCAAAATTTGAATCTTTATTTCATCTTTTCCATCATCGTCTATGCATGAATTAATAACTGCAATCCATATTTCTAAGAAATATCACTTTTCCATTTTTTATTTCATTTTATAACTTATCAAATCTCTCAATATCGTATAAAATATTTTCTTTCTTTATTAATGTTTTTTGATTAAATAGATTTTTTTGGATAAAAATTAGATTTTAATTAAAAATTAGAATTATTCTAAATTAACTTCTTTATTGTCACTTACTTGTACTAATTAATTGTGTATTTCTATTTAAATTTAAAATTTAAATATTATGTTATCGATTAGTTGTATTTGTCATTTCTATTTTTAACGTTTTCATTTGTACACATTTCTATTTCTAAATTCATTTTACAATTCACAGCTTGTATCCATTGATTTTATACTCTATATTTCTTCTCCATGAAAATCTCTCTTAATTTCCTTATTTCTTCTTATTAACGTATATATTCTAACGTATATATTCTATTCAACTCTCTGTTTCTATTTGATGATTTATTATTATTTTTAATCATCGTAAAATTTTATGTTCAATTAAAACTCGTTTTATAGAATTTTTCTTAAAATAGAATTTATAGAATTTTTTTTAAATTTTTCTTAAAGTAACTACTTTTTATCAATTCTGTTGACATATTTTTTTTTTTTCATTGTCAATCCTATTATTTAATATTTCTTCTATGTCATCAGCCTTCATCATTGGACCGTATAAACTCAGGGTTGTAACTTTCAGATAAGACCTTTGTTCTATGCCACGTCATCAATTATTCATTAACCGTATTAAATCTTGAATTCTCTAGTAATTAATCATTGATGATCCACCGATCAAATTACGGGATTCGACTTCAGAATTCCATTATCGATCGAAATTGTATCTGCATTTTCATCGTTCATCATCCATCACTCATCGAATGATCTGAATCGATGATTTAATATCACTTTACTTTCACATTACCTGTGATATAGTAAATAACCGAAACAAAAAAAAAAAATCTTCATTGGAAAAGAATAATTTCAATCTGGAATTCTTAAATTTGATCGAATGTCTTAAGATTTCCAATAAATATTTAATTCATCATCATCGTGCGACTCAGACGTCACGATATTAATATTTCACAATTCTAATTACGATTCTAAATTTTACCAATTACGCAGCATGAACTCTAGCATTATTATCGATTGAATCATCAAGCCTTCTCTCTTCTTAGAATAAATTTAAATATTACTAAGTATTAGTATTTAAATATTATGGAAAAAATACACGAAAAGATTCTCAGTGTCTTTTTTTCCCTCTATTATTTCATTCCATTTTTCAGAATGGAAGAAAATATTTCATAATGAGAAATTACAAATTTTAAAACTTAATCTTAAAATAAGAAAAAATTGCAACACATATTTTCTTCATCGGTAAATAATCATAAATCATTATCTTAAAATAACTCGTATCTCTGGCTTCGGTTTAGATTAATTCAAGCTCCAATTTCTATCGGTCTTATATGACCACTGAATATTGCCTGTATCAAATAACTATATAGTAGATATTTCAACGATAACTGGAGTTATTTTTATGATTCAATTAATAATTGATTTAATTAATAATTAAATAATCAAATAGAATGTGAATTTTATATACAATAACATTATAAAAGTATAATATTCGTACATACTTTTTTTTTTCCAATAAAGTATTTTTTATTCTAGATTATATATTCTTCATTTCCATAATATCAAAGTTTTATAATCATATGAAAATACTATTAAATACGAAATTTAACACAGATTAATTTAATATGCATATCTGTACCATAAAATATAATACAATAAATACACTACTATATAAATCATTATACGAATATTTTTTACGAACATTCATTCGTGTAAAGCATCCAATAATAACATCAATAAGAGTGGTGAAGCACCAAATCTCAATTTCACTTAGCCTCGTGACTTATCGTTGCCGTATAATGAACGGCAACAGAAATAGAATTGACTCGTTTCTATCATGATCATCCAGCACAACGTTGCCTGCACCCTTATACACGTTGCATACACGTTTTAACTCGGTTTTGGTGAACTGAGTAGAAGTTATTATTCCTCGTCCGTTATCCGCCATTTCAATCGAACACGGTAAAACTTAGTTTATGCGAATTCTATTTATGTGAATGAAATGAAATTTCATATTATCGATTATCCGAACTCTAGCTGAATTTCTATTATCCGAGCTGTTACGCGAACATCGTAATGTAATGTCCAATGTAATGTAATTAGAAATGTATATCGTATTTATGATATCGAACAAGTAGAAAAATTAATTCAAAAGTTGGACAATTATTATACATTTTGAGAGAAAATATTTTGTGAAAAATCAGAGATGAGAAAATTCCTGATCTTTAGCTTAAAAATTAGGATCACTTTTCAACATTTTTCATGTTTTTAATAAATCAGCTAATATTAATGTAACTGATGATGCGTACACAAGTATTTTAAATAAGTTCTGTGTGGAATTTAGAAAAAATAATATATTATATATTTATATGATATATAAATTATTAATATCTACGTGAATATATATTAATAATCGATAAAATTTGCGATTAAATTTCGTTCAAATTTTCGAAAATGTTATTAAAATTATCAGTGATTCTAATTTTTTTTAATTGTACAATTAATTGGTAAAACGAGAACAGAAAATATTCTCAATCACATGATTTTTCATCGGTGAATGTTCTCGCTTGATACTCGATCGTATTTCTCCATTGTATAGTAAGTATCTGGTTTCGATCGATTGGAAAGAATATTTGTGAAATTGGAAAATCTAGCAAAAGAATAGGATTTAGAAATGTTTCGAAGCAGAAATCAATGTTTCGTTTTTGTTACTTTAATTTCTTTTTGATTGAAAATTGAAAAATTTGCTTTATTTTTATTCTATCTTTTTCATTTTTTTTTTTTTTTTGTATGTGAAGAATACTGCACTGATACTCTTTTCTCAATAGGATTTGTAAACGAGAATTCATGTGTTGTTTCAAATATCTCTTTTTTCAACTTTTATTCCTATCATATTTTTTTCAACTATTTTAATCTTTTTTCAGGTTGTGCTTTTCTACATTTTATCAATGATACATTATAGGTTATTTTTCTTTATTTTCAAGTTTATTGAAAATAACTTGATATAAATAAATGATATGAATAACTGATTATATTCAAGTTATAATCAAGTTTTCTATTTTAATTATATTGGATCTGTTAGGTGTTTTGTTGATTTATAAGATTTGTTTTCAATTAATTAACATATTCAAATCAAATTGCTTAATGTTATCTTTAATTGCAAATATTTTACATGATTATTGAACTAATATTGGAATCTGTTTGGCGAGTATATACTTGGTTTCTTTCATTATTTTTCAAAGATACTTTATATCCTGAACATTATAAAATATCTTCTATTTACAACATATATTTGTTTCTTAAAATCTAATATATTTTCTTCAATATTATTGCAAATATTGTTTTATCTTGCAATATCGACGACACTTTGATCAGTAAATATACTTTGATTTTCTTTAATAATCAAACATGCTACCTGTTTGCCTACTTTCTAATCGTTCCTATTTAACAGAAGAAAAAATGAATGGCAGAATATGATTAATTTAATACATATATAAGGTGTACTAAAAAGTTCCATAAAATTTTTCCAAGATTTTTTCTATTCTTAATTTCTATTCTTTTAGATTTTCCATATTTATTCCTTTGTATCTTATAATATTTTTAATATTGCACAAAACGCCTTATTTGATTCTTTTAAAACGTTTCTTCCCTTCTCTTGTTTACGATATGAGTCACTATTTAATCGTGGTGACGATCTACTTAACGTATGTTCTTTAATACTCCTTTTACAACACTCATAACACTTAGAACGAATTGATCGTGAAACATATCTAACATAAGTAAAAGTTAATCTATTATGCATGCATACAATAGAGCGTCGATTATTCGAACTAATTGCGAGACAAATTCTTTCGGTTAATCAAATTCAAAATAGGAATTCCTGAATGCGCCACAAAACAACTGGAAATTAATTAATTTTCAACTTATGAATTTTTTATTATGTAAATGAGAAATATGCATTATAAAAAAATAAATCAATGATTTCTTTACATACACATATAGAGTATATAGCTCATCTTATGCTCGAACAAT